TAAATTATTTATGGCCGTAGATATTTGTTGTGGTGACGGAAAAACTAGGTTTAACGTAGAAGTAGGTAAAAAGGTAGTTATAGGTGTAGGCACTGGTCCAGAAACAGGTAGGGTACAGTTGGAGAAATAATCCCCGAATAGATCCGCCTTTTTCTGTTCTGTAGAGGCTATTTTTGTCCCGTTACTAATTGTTGCAGGGAGACCAGTGTTACCCTGTCTTATACGATTAATTGCTGCCCAAAAGTAGCGGGTGATGTGAAAGATTTTGCAATGCGTGTAAAATGAACGCGTTTCAGTTTATTTAAAGCATTTTTAACTTCCTTACGCCATTTCTTGAAACACGCTTGTGATTCAACAGTGCCACGTTTTTTATGTGTCTGAAACGCACAATTACACATGCGCATCAGATGATAATAACTACGGCTATATTTGAAGTGAATAGACTTAGTCTGAGTTTGTTTCCACGGCACACAGTGATCTACACAGGCAGATAAATGGGTAGACCAAATATACAAAGCCTCATCACATGTTTTTGTGTTGAAAAAGTTTGAGTCTATATTGGCTAACTCTGCTAACAACTGAGGCCAATTGCATTTTCCATAATCCCTTCGCTTTACTGAAGAATGAATCCGCTCAATGAATATATCCTCAAAAACTACCTTAAGGACAAAATGTGATGATCCACCTAGTGGTGGAGAGTCTGATGTTTCTGGAGGAGCCCAATCAACAGGGTAGAAAATAATATTCAAGCAGAGTTTTATGCTTGGTTGTATAAGTAGAGAAAGAAGGGACTAATTGAAACACTGAGAGCGTATCTAAGAGAACTTTATGTACCTTTGGATTTTTTGTAGGATCTGCATTAAAATCTCCAGGTAGCAGTAACTGAGAGGAGGGTTGAACATGACGTGGGAGAAAAAGTTCTAACAATTCAAAATATTTTTCATACTCTTTAACTATAATAGAAGGTTTTCTATACGAAGAGCAAATGAAAATATCACTTTTATTGGATTTGATTTTCAGAAGGATAGATTCAGTTTTTGAGCAGGAGGCAATAAATTGGTGTGAAATAGAATTCGATACATAAGTTACTATATATAAATAGTACTCCGATCGTTTGTCATTTATCTCATAGATTAGTAGAATAGTTACTCGCAACAAATGCATATATATTCAGATACAGATTTAATGCATTGTACAAGATAAAGTAAGTCAGCGATCTACTGAGCGACCCATCTAAATGGATCCGTTTTATTCACTAAGGAAATTGAGGAAACTGTGCCGTCAGTAGGTCAGTGACCCAGTGGTAGTGTGTCTCCGAGTTACAGAAAGAAATGGCCTGGTGAACCATGACCTGTCTATATGGATCTCTTTTACCTACTGAGACGATTTTACTGACTGGTGACCCAATTTATTTTTTAAAGTTGTTAGCGTTTGTTTGTATTGTTGAAGCCTTATTTTTCTGTTTTTTACACTGCTATTTCTCTAGCATTTTTCTTTTTTTAATAGAAATCAATTATTCGTATATAACTGCCAAATCGTACTACTTTCATACGCATACCCAACACCTTTACTTTATAATTGACGAAAAGGCCGAATGATCCATATTCATACTATTTTTAGGCTTAATAATAACATGTGTTGTTCGATGTTTCTTCTTCTTTCTCTCTTACTCAAAACAAAAACTTCTTTAATTCCAAACCCGGTTACTTTCACGTACAATATGTGGATCATTACACAAGTAGAAGTATCTTCATAGAATCGATCACATCCAATATTATGACGTATTCTGTTTTATTCGACGACGGCTTATATTGAAAAAGAGAAAAAAACACATTTCATTTATTCACATAAAAAGAAAATCGTTTCAGATATTAAAACAAACAGACATACATTCATTTTATAAAAATGTACAGAGAAAAAAAAGGCAAATAAATTCATTAATTTTTCTATCTGCAAATGTTGACGAGAAGAATGAAGACAGTATAAAAAACACATTTATCTGTTCCTATCTGAACACAAGGATAAAAAAGATTTCAGAATTAATACAAAAAAATGCTTAAAAAAAAGTTCAGGACGTAAATTGTAGCAATTATTCAATTATAGCACCTTACGAGAAAAAAAAACAGATTTTAATTACAAAGATTTTTCAAAATGACACGAACCTCATAGAGGTTAAAAGGACGGCTATGGATTTCATAACTCTGTTGTAATTGGTTGATGTTGAATAGACGTACGAGAGTGATGAGAAGATAATGATGTTGAACACGATGTACTAGCGCTGTTATTAGTATTATGACATGATTGAACAATTGTCGCTGAAGCATTACGGCTATTTGACGTACTTAATGTTCGTGTAACAATAACAGGTTTATCTGATTGTTGAACTAAATTAAATAAGAAAAACAAAAAATGAAAATAAATGTATTTACTTTTAAACTTCAATACGTACGATTATTGCTATTATAATTAATATTTCGATTCATATTCAAATTAGAAGTAGGAGAAGTTAGAGGTAGATTATTGATGTTATTTTTATTTGGTGAAATGGCTTCGCTGCAAAAACGTGTTTCCTAAATAACGATAGATATATAAATTCCATGTTAATAGAAAAATCAACACTGCAACAATTTATATTTAAAATCCAGCAGACTAAAGGAGTTACCATTTATGAAATAACAGACGCTATTTCGCACAACATTTTCTAAGTGGTTCACACAGCGTATTTGGTGTTATAAACTGTTTCACCTCAATCTGTTTTAGTCAATTTTAAATGAATTGTCGATAAGTATTCAAACACTTCAAACCAAAAAACGGAATAATCTTTAATAAAACAATCATTTGCATGCAATTATCGCATTTCATTCACATGCATTTAACTCACGTTTATCATCAGTGTAGTCACTAGTAATTGTCGTAGCAGCAGCAGCACAATTACGAAGATTTTTTGTTGAATCAACAACGAGATAGGATAAATTGTCATAATTAGCACATTTCATATGAAATTGTGTTTTATTATTGCAAGGTAGTGTGTGTTGTTTCCTTGGAAAATTAAATCGACTGTAAACACCATCAATGTCGAATAGTGAATAGTTTAAGATATTATCGTAGGCTCGATTATTATTCGATGATGATGATGTTCTAGCACGATTTAATATAGCAAATTCTGGTATCGGTGTATTTAATAGTGGAAATTTTTTTAGTAAATTCATTTTACCAATGCTGCTGCTGCTGTTACTACTACTACCAGCACTTTTAGAATCGATTAAATTTTGAACACTATTTAGCTGAATAAACATGTAGCAAATTTCAAAAGTGATATTGTAAAGCTAAAAAAAGATTCTTACTTTAACCACAAAAGAAGGTTGTGGTACATTGTCGAACGGAAACTCATCTTTCAACGAGAATTTAGGTGGACTCATTGAAATTAAATTTCTTGCGGGCGGTGAGATGGATGAACGAATGTGACTAAAAGAAAAAAAGAAAACAAACATAACTCTTGTAATACGTTGGTCAAAAGGAAAAAACATACCCATTTGTTGATGGACCGTTAACATTATGTTGTGGTGAAATTTTTATCAATAAACTTTCATTATTATCATCGTTTATTGCTGTATTATTGCCGTTTATTTCTGGTTCTACTTTAACGGTTAAATTATTCGTTTCTTTCGAATCTAAAATGAAAAAAGATTGAATAAAATCATCAAATAATTGTATGAACGTAATAAGAAAATTTTATATGTAATATACGTTTGTTTTTAATCGAATTTTCAAGACAATAACTTTTAATATTTGTTTTCAGCGGATTATTGAATAATATCGGTTGATGTTGTTTATCATCTTTCGGTTGTCTCGGAGGTATTGGAGGAGGTGGCACTGTAGAAACTACGAGAGATGTTGAATTTTTCTTTGAGATTGATTCATTATCTAAACGGAAATAACAACATTACTTAGTTAAAGTTATTTTATAAAAATTAGCAGTTTCTTACCTTTAGTATTTATCAATAAATCTTGTGATAATTGTTTTGTCGTTTCACTAGCAACGTTAACACCTTGTATTAAATTATCCAAACGTTGTGATGCTGATAAATTTAAATTTTTTTGTGATGATGACCAGGAAGATGGACGTTTGCTCGATGATGATAATGTTAAATCATGAGTGGATGATGATGGATTTTTATGTCTGAATATACAATAAAAACAAGTTATACGAATTACAGATATATATCAAGTATGCTTACTCAGGTGATTTTTTTCCTGCAGTATTTTCTTCTAATTTTGCTTCTTGTTCAATTTTTAATTTTTTTAATCTTTCATCTTCTTGTTCTTTTAAACGTGCTTGTTCTTGTAATTTCTTTCGTATGGCATAGGAAGCACGTCTCGAAAATCTTTGGGATGGTCGTCGTTCAAAATTAGCACTACGACGAGTTAAATTTACTGTTGCACTTTGTGCCTCTGTTCGACCACTAATAAAACAAAAAAAAATTTAATGATATTTAGAATAGACTATGAAAAAAATTTAAAAATAATTTACCTAAATCGAAATCGAGATCCCATTCTAGTAAAATTTTCTCGAGTATTTAATTTTGTTTTTGGTGGTTTAATACATCGAAAAAATCCATGATATTCTACTGCACATTTCCACAAATGTTTACATTGTTTTTCATCATATAAACGAAATATAAATGTATGATCTCGTTGAAGACTTGGATCGTTATCATCATCTTCTACCACAACAACTGTTAGTTTCTTATGTTTGAAATCTAATTTAGTTATTTTTGGCCTAGAATAATCAATTGAAAAAACTATTTACAATTCAACAGTTATATTTGCAATAACAAAAAAACATACCAGAAAAATAGACCAATTTTTTGTTTATTTTCAAATACTAAAATTCCAGTCGGTGTCAATCCTAAACGATATTCCATACCATCTCGTCCCTAAGAAGAAAATAAAGATAAAATTAATGAATTCAAAATATAAATTCAAAATTAGTGAAGATATTTCTTCCTACCAATACTGTATGTAAATCTACACCATAATTTTCAAGCCATTTTGCTCTATTCAAATATTGTATTTCAGCATCAGCAGGCGTTAAATTCCTTGTTAGAAGAAAAGGGAATAAAAATTATGTAGGAAAGATCAAACACATAAAGAGCAAACACATTACATACTGATAAGTTTTCCATTTCTGGATAATTGCTTCTTCAACTTCTTCTGTTTGTCTTCCATCCGGTATAAAACGAAACTCCGATACAGTTTCGGCTGAATGTTCAATTGAAACATAATCGCCTAATTCAGCTGTAAATAACAAATTCATTCAGAAATAACTGATTAAAAAGATTTACTACTTTTATTTACCTTGAAGTGCTAATGCAGCTAAATCGATGCTTACATCAAGAGGACATTCTAATTTACCTGTTCTTACATCATCTTTTAATTGTAGAACAAATAAATATCTAAATAGAACCCGAAGATGGATCCTTTATATTATTTTTAATACTTGTGTGTTTCATTATACCTTGTTAGCTCTTCATGTAAAGTCTGTGGTTCTGACGCATAAAATTTAATACGTAAGCGGAATGTATATGGTGGACCAACTAAAAATAAACACTTGAATAGTGAAAATTAGAGAAAAAAACACTCAACACATACTTTTACATTGATTTTTTATGCACTTAGACGAATCCAACCAATGCTAAAAGAAAAATTAATCATCTATTTTAACCAATACATCATCAAACACTCAAAATATATTACTTGAACATTATGTGTATCAGTGTATTGTAAACCAAAATAGTCTTTTTCAATTATATCACTTTGACTAAAAACTTTATCATATAAAATTTTTCCAATTGCTTTACGCTAAAACAAACAAACAAAAATTCTTATTAAGTATTTTTTTTATGAAATGAAAGTTATCGAAAATTTTCTTTCTTTAAACGTCAAATATTCAAAATTTTAAAGTATTTTAATACGTAATGTATGAAAAACAGACTTACACTCTCTAATAAGTTCAAAATTTCCTATTATAAAAAGTCGACTATTGACTAACATTATACTGTTATTTTACACTCATAGTCATTATTTTGCTTAGACCTTGACAACTCAATTTGAGTCTTCATTATCAACGTTCAAAAATTCACTTACAAGTAATTTTTTTCAAAAATAAGCTGAAAAAGTTACTTTATTCAACTTGTTTTAATGGAAAAGTGCTTATAAGTCTTTTCATTTTTACATGGGCAACTGTCAAAGATAACACTAAAAAAATATCTTACAATTATTTCATACGGATTCTTGTAAATTAAGTAAAATTTTAGATTATGAACTTTTATGTTAATTAAAGTTGTATCGAAATAGCAAACTGCATTATGAAAATATGTACGAGTTGTTTGGCTAGTAATAATACAAATATTCTCCATTTTCCTTACAATTAGGACAATTTTCCATAGAATTCGTGTATACAAAAAATAAAAGCAATTCAAATTCTACGTTCAAAACGATGTGATGGTACATTTTCTAAAATAACTCCCTAGTATGATTACTTTTTGTCTTTATTAGTCAATACTGCTAACTCTATAACTCAGCATTTTACAGTTTATTTTTGCCAAACATCAGTTTCTACGACGCATTTTATACTTCTGCCCTTTTGCTGAAAATATCAATTGAGATAGAAAGAGGAAATATGTGAAAGACATACTTATCTGACTCCAATTCAAGATTAAACTCTAACTACATTCATTTCATTTGATCTGTTTTGATTATATGCTTGTATTATACCGGATTTGATATACAGACATTCAAAACAGTTGAAAATAAACAATTATGTTTGATTCTAATTGTGTTACATTCCAGAAAGGAAATAATAGTTAAGGCTAAAACTTTGAAATTATATCTTGTGTAAGTACTACTTAAGTACGATTAAATACTGGAATTGTTTCATCAAAAAATCTGAGATAAAATTTTATATTTTGTTGTAGGTATAAAAGACAATAAACGTTTATCATTATGTTTACGCGGTAATTGATCTCAAAACCGGGTGTGCGTTTTTTTTCACGCATAAAAAGTTGACCTTTTTTGAATAATTATCAATTTTAAAATGAAATTGAAAAAGATCATTATTGAAAAGACACGCATTATTAATTTAAATCGCATTTGCATTTCTCAATGTTATTCAAATAAGATCAATAAATGATGATTGACGATCAACGCCTATAATCAGAGGAAGTTCACGGGGAGAAAAAAAAACAAAAATTGATATTTCCTCTACGATTTAGTTAAATATATGAATAAAAAGTACAAAAAATTGTGTGACGTAATTATCTGTACCTACACGGTACACATACACAAAATGAAATTGGATTATCACACATTCCTTATTTGTTAGAACACAAATAATACACATCACTTTACATTTCTCAACAAATAATAATAAGAAAATGTAATCGTATATATGTCGTCTTTTCTTCTTTTAGGTGAGTAAAATGAACGATCAGTAATCAAATAAAATCGCTTAAGTAAAATTAACTTATACTAACATGAAAAGAGAGGATAATCAAATTGAAAACTCTGTTGAAAGTAGTTCTAGAACATACTTGTAACTTAACAAAAGAAAATTATACAATTGATAGCAATCTTTTATACATCAAAGAATTTTTGGAATCAAATATCTTCTAATTCATTAATCTGAAATTACACTTCCTGGAGTATACTAGTCAGTTTTTATAAATGCTTTTTTTTGTTTCTTCAACTATTGAATAAATAAAATTTATATCATTTCAAATGTTCAATTTGTTCACAGCATAAAAGAAGAAATATGAATAATTCTGATATACCATACAGTGTCACGAAATTGGATCAAAATGCGCAACACACATAAGAATAACAATCGTCATCTATTCTTTTCTCTTTTTTTTTCTTTTTTTTTTTTTTTTTTGTACAATCCATATGCATGACAACACCTGGCTCTGTATATCTGTATATTTATGTATATGAACATTTGATCTTTCTCTTTCTTAAATATATTCTAGTAGACTTTCACTACCACTACTTTTACTTTTTGAATACATACATATAAAATAAATAAGGTCAAGTGTATGTAGAGCAAGACAACTAACGCTTTTTAAAACAAAAAAGTATATCGTACGTGGTTCATGTATATATATATATATATACGAAGAAAGTCTGATACTAGATCAGACATTTTCTAATATCTATAACTATGTTACACAGTTCGTAACTAGTGACTAATGTTTTTCTAATAAAAATACTTCATCATACTAATGAAGTTTCTGTTATCCTACTATCTATCATGACTAAAACATCCGCTTTTTATTATCATTAGAAGATAAAATATCAATGATACACAATTATGGATAGTAAACGAATGTGTTACTACTACTACTACTACTACTTCTGATTAGCACAGTTCAACAATAAATTCTACTTGTTCTATTTTTAGATCATAAATTTTAAGTTTGTTAAAAAATTAGACAAAATAACACGTAGTATTTGGATTTGGTCAATTAGAATCAATTATAGGATAAAAGATTTATCCATTATTCTATAATTATACGAGTCAATAAGAACTTCAATGACACAAAATATCTATCGGTTATATTCTTATAACAAGATTTTAGCTTGTAGAAAACGATACGTCTATAATGTGAAAAAGAAGAAGAGCGATCAAAGATGTCAAGCTGCTTATTAGCTACTATAAAAACAATATTCAACTGTTCTAACTAGAAAAATATGTCTGATTTCGAATAAAATAATAAAATATGTTCTGTTGTTGTTTTTGTTTTTGTTTTTTTATATACTTACATCAACTTCAAAATTCACATCTTCTCCATCAAGAAAAACCACAGTGCATACTAAACCATTTTTAATAATATTCGAGGAAGTTTTTGTTGTAATTAATTCAAGAGTATTATCATTATGTTTTCCATGTTTCGTATAATGCTTATTAATATGATTGTTGTTATTAATTGTGTTGGTTGTTTGACGAGTGAAAAAACGTATTAGTCGAGATGCCATATTTCCATATAGCTCTCATAATTTTAAATGATAATTAACAGTGGTGATAAACAATAGTAGACTAATAAATCAAACATATCAATTTTTAAAATTGAGCAAAAAAATAAAGAAATCTAGAAAAAAATAATATGTAAAATCTTTTTTTTTTTGTTACTATTACTAGTCTCTCTTCTTATTTTTCTGCTTGTGGTTATTTCTCTTTTGTTACTCATACAGTTGTACATACATACATATCGACAATTACTATGTGAGATGAAGAGAGAGAGAGTGAGAAAGAGAGATAGAGAAGAAACAACACACTTTGTATAGGATTGAGGCACACACGTTTTATTCATCGGTCAATCATTAAAAAAAAATATTTTTAAGGGAAAAAACAAAGTATGTATAATAAAAGGGTAGAGAAAGAGAGCGAGAGAAAGAGAGAGAAAGAGAAAGAGAGAAACAAACTATGTGATAGAAAAATATTAGTATACACAAAAAAGCCGGAAGAGAGTATATATATATACAATAATAGTAATAATAGGCATTGTTTCGAGTTTCGCTTAATTACGTTAAAATCATCATCATCATATCGATAAGCGTTTATGTGTATATATGTACAAAACAATTCAAATGAGTAGTTTTTAATGAACAAGTGATGATAAACGAAAGAGGACAAAGATGAAAAACATATTAGACTTATGCTACTAGAAATTGCCTAATTAGATTGAGTATTAGTATTAGAAATGAACTTCATAAACATATAAGCATGTAGATTGACGTGGAATATGGATATGTTTCGGCATATTTCACACATTTATTTGATCCATTCTCATTTGCAAACAAAAAAGATAATATAACGTCATATCTCATAGTGTTCTGCTATTTAGTAGATAGAGGTGATTTTTGACGTTATTATGTTAGTACTGAAAGATCTGATTCAAAAAATCTTCATACAAAATATATAATTGACCTGCTTTAAACTTCAGAACAAAAAAAAAATAATTACAATGACATGAAAAATAACATTAGAAGGAAAAATGATAAGATTGCCGCCAAATCTAATCTAATCTGATAAATAGAATTACAAGGAAACAATCTGTTATTCATTTTTATTTCTTTTGTTTTTCTTCTATTCTTCATCTTGTCAATGACTTATGGTTAGCAATAAGATGAAACACTCTCTTTAAAAACTATATGGAATGATAAGGAAACATAGATCAATAAACAAATATAATAGACCGTTTTAACTAAATAAGAATAAAAATCAATTGTCTCCGCTAAAAAAATGTAACATAAAATTTAGACATGTATACAAGCCTGTTTGGTACAACGCCCATTTCAATATATAAATTTGTATATATATATATATATATAAAAGAAATCTCTTTTTACCTATGTCTTTCTTCTTTGAATATTTACTCTTTCTAAACAATTTTTTCAAAATATAAGTTATATCTCTACTACTCAAATGTAATTAACTGTTACAATAGATATTGATTAAAAGCACGTTAGATCAACTTTTTGGCTCATTAATTCATATAAAAAAAAGAAAAGAAATATAAAGTAAAAAAGATTCTGACTTTTCTTTTTTTGAATCAACACTCTATTCTAAAAAAAAAACCTAGAGAATAAAGAAGTCTATATTTATTCATTAAAAAAAATGTCCCATATATATATATACCGTATGAACAGAAAAGAACAGCTGCATCTAAATGAACGACATATATATTTACCTTGTCCATTTGTAGAAAGAACGCACACAAATATAGAATGATATTCTTTTTTCATTCGATTGCACCTCATAGTGTGTTTTAATGAACTATTACATAAAACTGAGAATGAAGAATAAATGATATACATCTCTCACAAAACTCCAGGAGGAATAAATGAGAAAATACAAAAAGCCAATATTATATCGATTAATGAGTAATAATTTTAGAATGAAAAGTGCAATAACAGTAGTGCTATTTATTTAATTTCATTTTAATTAATTAAAATAAAATAATGAAATTAAATAGCGTTATTGTTATCATACTTTTTTTTATTTTTAGAAAACAAGATAAATTTTTTCGAAATTCAAATATTGTCCATATTATGTGTAGAAAGAGCCAGTTAAACAATACTAACATTGAATTAACTATTAAAGTAATAGAATACTCTATTAAAGAGATAGAAGTCATATCAAAAAATAAAATTTTTCAAATTTTAGATTCTTAACTTCTCTTTTCTCATCTATCTTGTTAACTATTCGATTTTCATTGTTAAAAAACAAATGACCGATCTATATCGAACAAAAAATCTAGAACTTCAAATAAGTTTAATTTAAATAAATAAATGATTGAAAAATATTTAGAAATGACAATTTTTTTTTGGATATTAAATACGAAGAAGATATTTGTTTTGAGCGTAACATCATAATATGAATATATTTTTTTTAAAGAAAAAATATTCAAATCGAACGAATTTAACGATTATTTTTAAAAATAAACTGCGATAAAGGTCCTCGAAATGATGTAGAAAACAATAAAAAATATTTAACTACATAAATTAGTAAAAAAATTGTTGGTTTTTTCTGTTCCACCCTCTTTAAAATTCTTCAGTGTTTGTTTATAACACATTAGTTAGCAGTGCATCATTTTTTTTTTTGTTTTTTGTTGTTTGCCGATGATGTAAGTTTGAGTTCTTGAAAGGAATTTTAAAAAAATGATTTTGTGTCTATTCTATCTTTGTGTAATCTGCTCACACACACACATACACACACAATATAAAATAAGTGAGCACTTCTACATTGCTACTTCAAAAATTGAAACCTACTTTGAAATATCGAACAGTAAATAATCATATCTATAGTAGACGATATCTTACATTTCTTTAACAGCCTTAATTCAAACCTTTGTTTTATCAAGGATGATCTACCGTACTTTCTCCTCTACAATTAGAGAAATGACATAGTACTCTAGTGTTTACCATATAATAGAAAAAAAGCAGTTTACGACGCTTTACGTTTTACATAGTAACAGTGAAAGTAAAATAATTTTTAAACAGTAGTAATTATAACTTATGAAAAAAATAAAAGCTTAACTTGAAAGAATAAAAATACAAAGCTTTTGTACTATCAGACAGTTTGATTTTAGTTTATCCATCGATATTATTCGTGTGTATGTGTGTGTGTGTGTATTAGTGAGCATAATGCAAATACTTAAAATAATATCTGACAAGATATTTCAGACGAAAATATCATCTTCGCTGATCGACTAGAACATATCACAAATAGATTCAAGAAATTTATGTAATCATTTAGATAAAAATAAGAGCATTCATATATTTGCACTATTTGACATTTTTATTCTGACACCCGTACTAAACGTCAAAACAGATAAAAAGAACACACGATTCTCTATGTCGTTGAAGAATATTTGATTATGACATTTATCTAAACAATACTCTTCAAGTTTTTCTCTAACAGATTTCAGATGCATAATAGTCACCTGGTTGTTCCTTCGTTTACATTTCGCCTTTAATATCTATCTCTGGAAAATGACAATGATTATTATTATACTAAAGATTCAATTATGAAGTGCTTTTTATTCTATAGTTCATTACATCTGTCGAAGCCCACATGAGAAAAAATATTCATAAATTATTAGCTATAATAGATAGCTCGTTTAGATTTCTGAGCAGCACTAAAGGTTACAGAGAGAAATTGAATTTTTTATATAGAAGATGCGTTTCTACTATTATGGTAACGACAACACGCTCTAAATCTGCTACTGGAATGTTTCAGGAAAGATAAAATTTTCATCATAACTCGCGATTGTTTTCCATGATGCTAGAGGTGATATTTTGGTAGCGAGGCTAAAAAATTTAGAATGAAGTGTTTTTCTTTAATCAAATAGGTTATTTAAAATTTAAAAAAATGTAATTTTCTACTTTCTAAAACACAACGTGGATCTATACCACCGTTTCAAACGAAAAAAGTCTTATGGGCCTATACCATCTACAGCATAATAGGTTACATAGAATGTTTTGCTCATCATCCAAGATAAGTTATATTTTCTAGAAGTCGATAATTTGATAATCCGACGTTCGGATGTAAAATGATGACTTCAGTCGATGACCAGAGTGTACAGTATATAACGAGCTTGTTCAGATTTTTCATGTCATTCCTCGTTTTCAAAATTCAAATCCAAAGTTGAATGTACTTTTGCACGCGGCAGACAGTGGTCATCTTTTTAATGATCATCATGTGAACACTCACATTTTCTGTCAAAAGCTAGATGAGAGAGTGGAAAGAGAAAAAAAAGAAGCTTAAACAATAATAAAAGAAACTGCTGCAAAAAGCTAATACGAATAAATGTGTCTTATTTTACTGGTGCTCTCTATGTCAACCACAAACTTAATACGATAGCTACACAAATAAGCTGAAAGTTATAAATCCATCTATTTCTCTCAAAGTTTCTTTCAATTCATCAAAATTGAAATGGACAATAACAACAGAACACTAGCTGGTACTAATGCTTCTATCCTACATAGACTATGTTGACATGCATATACTGCCAGCGGCGTAACCAGGATTTTTAGTACAATGGGCAAACTTCTATTGTATCGGAAAAAAACGATGGGCAAAATGGGCAAGGTTTTTGTCGATGGGCCAAAAGATTTTTGGTCCAAAAAGAACACAAAAAAATGAAATGAGATCCTTTTAATTTTTGAATTAGATTCTATTTTAAAAATAAACAAACAATTCTGTCTATAGGCACTCTTACAAATACTGCATTATTCCTCGTTCTTTATCTAACGATTAACTCTCTTACCCTTATTATCCGTTGAACATTGAACGAATCATAATAGCTAAACTTATCTCTCCACTGTGACTGTTCCAGAAGATGTCGCTAAATATAGAGGAAAAAACTCGAACATGTTAACATCACATACTAGAAAGCAACCAAGATATAATAACCTAGTACCGCATTAATTTTTATTTACATACTAGAAACCTTGATATTCCGTTACTTCATTTTGCTTTGCTTTTTAAAAGAATACTAGCCCTAGTGGAACTTCTTTATCCAAGAAACTGCAAAAAGCAAGAAAAAAACAAGAAAGTGGGCCACTTCTTGGGGCAGGAAATGTTTCTTGCTTTCTAGCCTCTAGATCTTGGGCCAAGAAATCTGACTTCGAGCAAGACAACGAAATTTAACTAAGAAAAAAATTTCTTGCGCTTCTTGGGACAAGAAAGGAGATTTCTTTGCTCATTTCGTGGATCAGGAAATTTATTTTATATTTTTTGGAACAAGAAATTAAATTTTCTGGATATCTTGCCCTCAAGAAATGCAAGAAAAAAAGTGGCACTTTCTTGCCCAAGAAACGCAAGATTTTGGAGCATTTATCTGGGAATGAAAGGCATATGTGAATGCCATGAAGTTGTTTTTTTTACGATATCGGCTAATCGGTCCGTCACAGCTCATGGCGATTAGAGAGAAAACTGCGATTTCATGGTGCAGATGCTTATGATTCTCTATTTTGATACTATGATGAATAGGAATCCATCAACTAAGCAGTTATCTCTTTCCACATATGATGTCACATCTTTTCGTCTTAGCTCATCGATAGAAAAGAAAGAGAACAGAAAGTTAAGCATGTGCGAAAAGAGGTATCCCTTATTTGCTAGTTCTCTAATGGTATGTTTCTACCATTTGGCCTCACCAGCCACTAAAGAACTAAAACTGACAGAGAAGGCGACGTCATGAAGCGAGTTTTTTTGTATGAAAGTTGGAAGAGTAAATGAGTAATTAATGACATTACTCTCTCAAATGAAAAGACAAAATCTATATAGTATAGGTCAACAAAAACTGGCATTTAATAACTCATGCACAGGCTATTTACTGTATGACTAAAAAATTGACTTTTAACCAGTGAAAAACTGTTACAAACCAGCCCGTTAACAGTTACCGTTTTTGTCTGTAATATCATCATGCCAAAAAACAGATATTTAACTGTACCTAGAACTGAAATTCTCATCGGTCATTAACTGTCTGTTAACAGACCCTTACCTCGTGAACGCTCAAAATATCAGGAAAAAACTAGCATTGCGTAGGCAGTTATGTCAGTTTTTAACCATTTGTCGACAAATCATTCATCCTTTTATTTCACTATTGTGACCAAAATAGAAATGACGTTGATTCTTTTGAGAAAACCTCGAGTTTTTCTCGTCTTTGATTCTACAAGCCATCAAAACTTGTCTTGAGAAGGCAGTCTCTAGCTATAGGACTGATACTTATGATAGTATCATGATCCTAAAGAATCAAAAAATATTGAAAGGTTTTGAATTCATTTTTTATGAGTTTATCAGTCAGAAAGAAACTGACTTCAGAAGACGTTCGAAAAATAGATCGTTAACGGCCATAACGGTGCAATAATGGCCCAAAACGAACATCATATAATGTCCACTAAAACATTCTCATTTTAAATGTCTAGAAACGGCCAAACGGTTGTCTCGATGGTCTAAAAATTTAAAAGCCACTAGTCGGGTCACTAATGGATGTTTAGTAGAGAATTAATTACACCACTTTTCATGAGTTGGGTATTACTTTATACCTATTTTGGGTGCTTCTATCTTTATACATATGAAACAGAAAGGTTGTGGCTCATCTATTCATTTCATAGACTTTTCATCGAGGCTAAAATTTCTACGATCTGGTTCTATAGTATTTAAATAGTCAATCAGTTCTCTCATCGAGAATATTCGCATTTTTTCGCACAGACACTGTTTTCACTATTTTGATTTTCAAATCTTGCAACTAAGAAAGAAAATATTTTCGAAAACCAAAATCGCTCTTCTTTTTTTCTTTGAAACACTGCAATAGTCAGAAATAAAATAACTTCAGTTAACACTATCCTAAATTCGAGGTGACACTGTTCTAACTTGATGACTGTTAACTGTTTTTGTCTAAAACGACGTATATAACGTCCTTAGGTTCACAGAGTATATATTAATCTTTGTACTTTAATCTTCTGCAACTCCACACGTACCCTAGATAAGAAATCTATTGTACATTACGGACGATGCTTCAAAATTTCATTTTTCCATTATCAACCGGGTGTTACAAAACTAATGAAACAACACTTGCAAAAAGATTTGGTTAAAATTCTATATTAGAAAGATGTAGTTTTTTCTCTTTCTTTTTCTCTTTCTCTCTCTCACCATATTCTAGTAGTCTCGTAGATACTTTTTATCCTTTTCGAGTTTTCTATATTTTATTTTTCTGTTTTTGAAGAACAAAACAAAAATATCCAACAAGGGTCATGCACATGACAGTGACACAAGATCTATAGAATATTATATGAACTTCCAGAAAAACCGAGAGAGGGGAGGGGTGTAGAAAAAAAAATTGTTATAATTCAAGTTAGAGTATAAATAGGCGTACATCCTCACTAAATCTTTCTTTCTTGTAACTATTCGAGTTTGTGACATATTCTACAGTGGTATATAATATTTCAATATCTTTATAAATTAATTAAAAAGCATAATTAAAATGGGCAAAACACATTCCAAAGAAACATTCACACAATGGGATTTAGATCGTTTTTCAAATGTTACAGGTGTTCCAAAGGCAACTGTTGAAAAATTATATCAAGAATTTTCCGTTGGTAAGTACAATATCTTTTGTTTGATCAGAAATAACTAGTGATTCATGTTATGTCGTTTATACCATCAGTTTGTTTGGTTCTTCACACTAAGATACGTTTTTTGGATATTTAGCTAGCGGAAAAGACAATCGAATGGACAAAAAGGAATTTCGTCGGTTATATAAAGAATTAATGGCAAGTAGAACAGCAGTAACAACAACATCAGGAGTAACTGGTACTAGTAGCACTGTTACAGTTATCAGCGATCACGATGCCGACAAAATAGCCGATCGTGTTTTCAAGACATTCGACAGTGATGGATCAGGTAAGAGATCAAAAACTTTTTTTCTGAACTAGACTTTAATACGAACCATAAGGAATCTAAAACTTGTCATTAATTTTCCTCTTCTGTCTTATACAAATCAAAATTAAAATCAATCTTCTTTTCTTGTTCATAGGAAAATTGACATTCGAAGAATTTGTCAATGCATTTGTTATGTTGAATGAACGTGGATCTGTTACAGATCGTAAGTTATTTGTTTATTACTTAATTATCCATAAGATTTAGAAGAATTGATGAGCTAATGCTATTTGCGTTTTTCTGATTCATTTACTCCTTGAATTGGATTCAATATAACTTATTGTGAATTGTTGAAATGTTTTAGGTTTCAATTATATCTTGGATCACAACAATCCAACACCTGGTTATATTACACGTGAACAAGGTGAACAAGTTTATAATCGTCTACACCGATTTTATAATACCGATGATACAAAACCATTAAACACAACATGGGAACAAACATGGTCGAAAATCGATGATGGAACTGGCGTATGTATTCTTCATCTCTCTTCTGAACAGACTAGTGCTGATCTCACAATTTTATTTTTACTATTTTAGCGTGTACCACAAACAAAATTTACTGAATATATGACCACAAACAGTGATTATGCACCACAATTAAAACATTTCAAGACAACATTTTAAAACGAATGTTGCAATGTCTCGAAATAGTTTGAAACAAGAAAAGACACTTCTTAGCATCTTTTTTTTCTATCATATTTGTTAATTTTTTTATTTGAAAATCGTTTTTATTCGTCTTAGTATATGTAATGTCAGTTAGTCTCATCGGAAGACGTTAAAAATAAAATCATAAAAAGAAAAGTATAAGTTTCATCGGGTGACAAACGTATCAGAGATAGAATAAAATGAAAGCGAGAGAGAAAAGCAAAAAAGAGTATTGAGTAAAATAATAAAAAAGCGAAAGGAAAACTAAAGCTGTTTTTGGTAATATACAGGTGTGAATGAAAACGTGATCAGAGAAATACGAGTTGATGGAGAAGATTATCTATGAATAGAAATCAATGAACGCTGAGAAGAATAACCAGTGAAGAAAACGGATTGCTGTAATAGATCAAACTTTTGCAATAGTTTCACTACAATAATAGAATATTTCAAAACAAGTAGATGTTTAAATCAGGATGATGTCACAGAGTACATATCAGATTTACATCGGATTTCTTCTAACGAATTAGCTTCTAACTCTTTCTAAATGAGAATTCTCATAAAGGATAAACAATTTTCCTGTTACAAAGATTCTGAAATATTTCAACGTAAGGATCTGACATCGATGTGTCGCTTTGTTTTCGCTCGAAGTGACGTTTAAATTTCTCAGAGCAGTATAGTGAATATTTGAATTCTCATAGGAGCTATAATAAAAAAGTAACAATTTCATATGACACTCTCGACTCCGAATTACATACGCTCCACGAGGCTGTTTAAAAATCGATTTTACAAAAGTTAGAAGAAATTAACATTTCTTCATTGTAGCTTACGCACGGTAATCGGTGAAGCTTGTTCTAAGCCAAGCAAGAATGACAGTACAACACCATCTCAATTGGGAACATCGTGAAGCTTAAATTCCATGAGCTAATCTTGACATCGCTTTATTTGAGACTAAGAAACAATCGCAGTTCGACACGGCACAAAAGGATAAAAATAAAGAATCCGCTTTACAGTTTGGTAATATCGCTCTTTCAGCTCCTTTCAGACTATCCATGAGCTACAGAGAGTTTCTATATCTTTCCCCATGCTCAAATACAAGACCAAGCCCACTAGAATCCATCACCGACTACTTAACCCTGACGAATTACGCCTCCTTCTCGCTTTAATGCAGATGCAATACTTCATCGTACTCACAAAGGACTCTCTCTCTATGCTCAGCGAACAGCGATACTCGGGCTTGAATCTAGACACCTTTGACGACTACGAGCACGTTATTTCCATGGGAATTAAATAAATGGTTGCACTTTATTATAAACATCTAAAGTAAGCATACATCAATAACAATCTATTGTATCTATAACGGAAGGGAATACTTTACTGGAGAGGACCAGCAATGATTTCTCCATCATTCAATACACGTTTTATCAATGATACAGATGTCGCCGAGCAAAAAAATACTGAATTAACATCTATACGTGTGATTCTCATCGTGACTTGTGCTGTTCTTGATCCTGATTAAAGCACTAGTAATAGTGCTTGTCAACGTCTCAAAATATACAAATTAAAGATATAAACTTTCGATTACAAAAATTGAATGTACATCATCATTACAGCCCCTAAGCTTCGAGTTCGTTATTAATTTGAAGTAAAACACAGACTGGACAGCAAGTAAAACATTTGTTTTTTTCAGGTTCATAAGGTTACATACGTAAATAGACCTTATGGACCTGGAGGCGAATCACACTTAAAATTGTGTGATTTGCCTTTTTTGACGACCATTGATTTTTCACTTTATTAAGCAACGCATATCATCCGTAAGATATTTTAGAATCGTTTTCTAGCAGCACCAAGTCTCTATATCACACCGTTTTTGAATTATACAGAACTACCAAAAGATAGCATGTTCTCAAATCCCATATAGAAACGAGAAGAACAGATCAAAAGTCAAATAAATCAGATTCTCGTGAATGATGGAAATAAAATCCATGAGCTTACATTGGTGAGACAAACATGTTTACCTCTGTGTTGAACTAGTCTCCAAATTATTTGATTCAAACATTCTTCCATTACCGTCTCTGACAGTATTAAACGAATTTTGACAGAAATTTAATTCATAAAAACATTTTTTTGCGAAATACCTTCCATTTCTTCTGCTTTCTTTGAATATTGCAAGTAATTACTTTTTCGAGAGGTTTACAATGAGTTGTTGATAAAATGAGCATCTCGATAGGTTTCTTGTGCCCTGGAAACGGAGAATCAATATCATGACTATACAATCTAACACATACATTTTATAAATTATAAAAATAATTATAAATTAGAGATCAAAAATTAAAATCTGTAGTTATCATTTAGATATCACGCGCCTATCTTATCTATTATAAAAATGTTTTTAAATAAACGGCAAATACTTGCAAGATAGATGTAACTGTATCTACGAGATATAAAAACACAAAACAAAAACTTGTAAAAATTTGCATTGAAAAATCGAGTACGTCGAGTTCTACTTTAGAAATAGTTAAAAAAGTCGATATAAAAAACATTCAAATACAAAAAAAATTATTGTAAAAATGTCAAAAAAAAGTATAAAAAAGTGCAATTAAGTTAGTGTTTGAGTAAAAGCTAGCACCTTAATCATCATCACTGTTAGAGAAGCTACAAAAATCAACATCTTATAGAAGAGATTAACTGAGACTTTTGTTGACTATGTATTAAACGATTTCGTTGTCCACATAACATTTTGAGCTGACATAAAACGAAGAAATAAAAAAAATGTTTCAATTATCTTAAAAAAATGACTGTAAAGTAAAAATTATTTATACAGGTGAAGTATACTAGAATTGAAATAAAATTGTATACATATCATAAGCCAAGGAAAAAATCTCTCAGAGTGGCAGAAACATACATTTAAGTACATAAATTCATTCAGATCTCTCAACTAATATTTATTAGAAGTACGCACTTCTGCAACAACGAGCAACTGAAGATAGCCGGATAAGAAAAACAATTAAAGTCAAGTAAATAGGAAGGATCACATACTATTTTAAAGAATTTGAATGGATCAATTACTTTCTTAGTGATAATTTAGTTCTATCCATTTTTCTCGAACATGTTCAACTCGATATTCTGTATAGTGCGGACGACGTTGTTGATCTATGGAAACCGCTTCTGACGGTTTAACACTTCGAAACTCACTGATTTGCTTTTGTTGTTGTTCACGTCTTTGATCAAATATGGACCATGGTGCACGTCCGATCTCTTTTGCATCACTCAAATCTTGTTCTAACATACGAAATGAACGTGATAATTTCGATTCAGATGATAATGACTTTGCAGATGAGTTCTGGTGATCCATAACAGCCTGATATGTCGGTGACAACGATGAAAATGCGTTTGGATTTTGTCGTGAGTATGGATTGTTTGTCTCACTGCTGGACGAGAAAAACGTAAGTGAAGGAAATGTTAGATGCAATCAGTTTACTATTTCGTATTTCTCAGAATAAGTACCTTCCTCCTTTAATATCATCAATTAAACTGGTTCTTTTGTATAATCGTCTAGAAAAATAAAATAAAAATATTTCATCAAAGTAATAATTTCGTCGCAGCTTTATTACCTGGTTCCCAGTTGGTTGATTTAGTTGATTGATAGACCATTTCGTTTCCAACACGTTTATCAAATGGCATTGCAGCTCGATTGTGGCTGCTATCGATACGACTTGCTTCCAAAAAAGATTGAATTTACGCTATTTTCATTAATGAAGCATATCGGAGAACCCTACTCACGAGAGAACCTTTCGAGGTGATTAAACACTTTTTGCTCGGAATCTAGTGGGTTATAGGTTATCGACCATGCTAATTCCAAATATGACCATGGGAGTTGCCCTTAGTCCTTCGAAGATCTGATTTTCTAGAAAACTAGTTTTTCAGAAACTCTAAAATATAACCAGAATCTTTCTTAATAAGGCATGATTGTAGCCCGCAATTTTCTGGTTAAAATGAGACATCGTCCAATTTGACACGACCTTTCTTTACAAAGTTATAGAATTTACAAGAAAAGTACTAAAGTAGGGGGGCGTATTTGATCAGAAAACGGCCCCTCATTCTTTTGCCTTATTTCGACTGGACTTTTGTCGAAAAGACATTTGCATACATTGCCCAGTTGTTCTTATGGAAAATAAGCTCAAAATACGTATTTAACCTTGGTTGTTTTGAGACTCCATCAGAGACCGTTGTTCTTAGAAAAAGTAACATTCTTGAAAAATCCAGCATACGTTTCCCACAAACCTTAGTATGAAAAGATAGCCAGTGAAAGACTGAATAAAATACTCTATGAACAATCCGTATACATCATTTCAATACGAAGAAATTATTTTCAAAACACACAAATTGACATGAAACGCGGCATCACGGATGTTTTAAGTACTTTTTTCGCCATATGCAAACGAGGATACAACTTGTATTTGGTATAGAAACATAGCCCTTGATCTGCTCTACAAAATTTTATATAAAGAACCTTTAACCATCATTGGTCGAGTCACTCCTAGCTTCTACAAGAGACAAATTGTACTTAAAAAGTCGGCATCAGAGATATTTTAAGTACTTTTTCTCCATATAAAAACAATGATCCGACTTGTATTTGATATAGAAAAATACCCACTGAAAAACTGAATAAAATGGTATATGAACCATAGTTACATACCATATTACTAAGGAGAAATGGTTTATTTTCAAGCATTCCCTATCTAGCGACTATGCTTGAGTAATCAAATTTTCCCATTTTCTCCCATAAGCAAGAGAGGATGCAACTAGTCTTTAGCATAGAAAAATAGC